CTACTACCTACTACTACCTACTACTACCTACTACTACCTACTACTACCTACTACCTACTACTACCTACTACTACCTACTACTACCTACTACCCTACTACTACCTACTACTACCTACTACCTACTACCTACTACTACGACGACGACTACGACTACGACTACGCCTACCGCTGCCGCTGCCGCTGCCGCTGCCGCTACCGCTACCGCTACCGCTACCACACCACTACCACTACCACGGCTACAGTACTTTTAGCACTACCATGACGACCCACTTTACTGCCACGACTACTGCAGCTACTACTACTACTACTACTACTACTACTACTACTACTACTACTGCCACTGCCACTGCCACTGCCACTACCACTACCACTACCACTACCACTACCAGCACCACACCACTACCACTACAACAATCTATGTATATCTATGTAATCTTGACAAAATGGGTTCCATTTATATATATATATAGTTTCCAGCCGAACTTTGGTATTATAATTGTATCACAAGGATGAGTTTATAGAGCTGCACATAGGCAACAAAGAAGCATAACTTTCGACTACTAAGCTGTTCTGTCATCAATTGAAGGGAATAGGCAGGTGAACATGATGTAGATGCAAAGTGTGGGACACTATGAATACATAGAGAACCTCAATGCATACGTCATGTCACAGCGTGCATGCAAAAGCAAAGGTGAACTCAGAAGAAAGTAACACTTCATTCCATTGTTTTGAAGTTTAGAAATATGAATACACAAATTCAAAGATGCTGTGATTTGGGAACACAATCAGAATATAAATACCATGAAATACCTATAAACAGACGAACACATGATGGTGCTAGCTCTTGAATGAATTGCAAACACACGACTGTTTGGCCGGTCAGGCCCAAAAACGTGACCATATGTTGTAACCCAAAATGGAAAAAGAGGAATACTTCTCAGTTCTTTGTATGACATTACGTAAATGTTGCGTTGTCAATGTCATTCAGGAGCTCTGGTCTTTATCGTGGAGGCAATTTACGAAGCTCCTCAGACTGAATCCGCTGTGTTGTTTTGCACAGCTTTGAAGGCAGCTACAGATCATGTTCCGACAACAGGGGAGTGCATCACCTTGAGAACTTTCCTTGGCATGGTGTCGATTGAGGTACAATAAAGGTAAAAAGAATTAAGTTCACCGGACTGTCTGAGGGAACAAGCAAATTTGCTCGATGTTTGGCAGATTCTGATGTTTCGAACTTGCAATTCAGAAATTTGCCTTCAATCTTATCCTTCAGATCATCGCATGTGGTTCACAAACAGCTCCAATCTCCTGAGGTGCAGCATCATTGATGGTGCAATGAGAGTTCAGCAAGACACTGTATTTGACTCCAGGCTGATTTCTGTATGACCACACAAACTCGAACAAAAAAGCAGCTTCAATAATGGGAGTCTTCATGGTGTCACTAGATGTCACTAGTATGTCTGCAATGTCCGTTGCTAGTTTAGCCTAACTATGTATAATATATGAGGTCTCCCTTCTGCGCGGGCGTTGTTTCACCGATTGCGGTAGTCATGGTAGTCAATCTGCAAAGCTGAAGTGCAGACGTTCGGCTACAAGTGTCTCACGATCTACCTTGCACATTGATTGCTAGTGCAACGTGAGCGCTTCCTGGTGCAAATGGTGAGCGCGTAGATGTGTACATCCACCAGCAATGAGTTCAAATGGGAACATGATGGCTCATGAGCAGACTTGTATGAACTAGACTTTGTTTGATGATTGGATGATTGTTTTGCTTGCTCAGCGTCAAGTCTCCGGACCAAATTCGAAGTGCCCCTACGAGCCTGAAGGCCATGACGGATTCCGAGTACTCCTTCTCTTTGACCACCTTTGCTCCATCGGGAAAGCTTTTGCAGATCGAGTATGCCCTCAACCGTGTTGCGGAAGGTCGTCCTGCACTGGGCATTAAAGCAAAGAATGGAGTTGTGCTAGCCACTGAGAAGAAAGTCACCAGTCCGCTAGTGGATGAGAAGACATTGTCCAAGGTGGAGAACTTGTCCGACAGCGTTGGGATGGTCTATGCGGGAATGCCAGCAGATTATCGTGTGCTGCTCCGCAGAGGGCGCAAGGTGGCCCAACAATACTACACTACTTACCGAGAGCTCATCCCAGTTTCACAGATTGTGCGTGAAGAGGCTGCTATCATGCAGGAGTTTACGCAGTCAGGTGGTGTGCGCCCCTTTGGGGTTTCATTGATGATTGCTGGCTTTGACGACAGTGGCCCCCAGCTCTTCCAGGTGGACCCATCAGGCACCTACTTCGGCTGGAAAGCTTCGGCCATTGGGAAGAACCACGTCAACGCAAAGTCCTTCCTCGAGAAGCGATACAGTGAGGACATTGAGCTTGAAGACGCCATCCATACAGCCATTCTGACATTGAAAGAAGGCTTTGAGGAAGCGATCACCGCTGACAACATCGAGATTGGCATCGTTGGTACGGACAGGAAGTTTCGTGTCTTGACACCTGCAGAAGTGCAAGATTACCTTGGAGAAGTGGAGTAGACAAGGATTCATGGTGTCTAGTTTCAAACAGGATTTAGGCACTTTGGCAACGTATGTGGTGTGTATGAAGCTTCCAGCTCATCATGTGAGGCAGTGATTGAAAGCCACAGCTTTGGGCTGAAAAGATGCACGGGTATTGCAGATATTTTTGAGACTCAGTACTCAGTGTTTGATTGTTTTAGTTTTGTGACTTATGACGCATTGATATTGGCATTGTTTGTGCGTTTGAGAGACAGCTTTGGCCCTTGAGTGAAGTGACTGCATGCGAGATTCTGCAAGCCATTGCAAAAATTACAAAAAATGCTGTGTATGTAGGCAGCAATCCTATTGGCAACTTGGTTAGACTCGGTTAGACCTATGCCAATCGTGGATACACCAACTAGACCAGCCCAGGGTGTATTTGACGGTTTTCCAATGGCTTTTTGACTCATTTTGCGACCTCGCAATGCTCCAAGCAGCCTCAAGCTTAAATTGCCGAACTCCCTTGGGCTTAGATGATTTCAATTGATTTCAGTATGGCATAGTTGCATTTTTGTTTCGAAGTAAGCATGGATTAAGGAGGCCAGATCTACAAACTGGCTAACATAATGTGGTCGTATTTCATTCTCTCATGTTCGTTTGGCAAGTTTCTTTGATGACCCCAAGCACGTTCTTGAGCATGCCTTTGGGTGAGTGCCAAGGTATCCAAGCGATTTCCGCCGCTGTATCATGCCGTTCTTGCTTCCAAGGCTGTACTTGTCAGACTAGTTGCGTGAGACTAGTCAACTGTCAGAGGGGAGGTACAGAAGGAATTATGGACTTGCAAGGCCAAGTTATATCAGTTACATCTTTAGATTCCAACTTCCAGCATATTCAAAGTAGACATATTGACATAATGTATTATGATGCGTTTACATGTGTGTTTCCACAATCTTTCCGTTCTGAATCCAAGATTCGGAGGTCAACCACGGGCCTGTGCGCATTGATGTTCGCGGGGTGGCCAGAATTCGCATCAATCGCAGCTAGTCAGAATAGGCGTTGTTATGTTGTTCGTTCTTGTTCCCCATTCCCTGAGATTAACTTTTGCTGGGCTACCATGCATCTCTTTCATGCCTCGTGCGTCACGATGCGAGAGCCAGAAACATTATAAATATATAGATTGTGAACCATCGGTGTTGCATTGTGTTGACCGCAGCTTGATCAAGCCCCTTTGTGGAAAAAGACTGTGTCTTCGGGCAGCGCCACTTTTTGCTTGAGACCATTTACTCCGCATTGGTAGCAGAGCGGAGTGACCCTGAGACCGGGTCAAGGCCAGGATGGCCGCAAAGCCGACCAAGGGAAGGGGCGCCAAGGATGCGGACGGCTTTACCTCACCTCTTCAAGAACACTTGCCGAAGGAGCATGCAAAGGCTGCTGGAAAAGGACAAAGACAGGACGCAGGCAAAGATAAGAAAAAGTAAACACCAAGCAGGACGCCAAATGAGGTGCTCAACCACGGATGGATCATGGCACTCAGCAGGCGAAAGGAACCGGTGCGACCTGTTCGGCATCGGCGTTGGACCAGGTCTCGGCTCCGGGATAGCGGGATTGAGGCCCCAGGCCAAGAACAAGTACCAGTAGAAGACCAATATACAAGCCCACGGAGAAACTGAAGGGCAAAGAGTCCCGAACAAACACTCCAACATCTCCTTCGGCACCTAGCACGGATGTGAAGAAAGAGGGAGAATACCAAGTCGAGCAGGCGTGAGAAGGAGCCCCCAAAGCCAGCGGCCAAGAAGTCCTATCCGGTCACCAGAGTGACCGTGCGATGGGAGCGACGCCTATTCAGACGAGGACGAGAGTGAAGAAGAGGAGGCACAAGAGACTGGTCCTTGCGCCACAGTTCAGTAGCCCGCGTTGCGTTGTCCATTGTCAGCCACTGGAAATGGGGATCTTGATTATCTCCAATGATAGCCCTCGCCCGCGTGCAAGCTGAGTGGTCCAAGACAAGACCTTCTTCTTCTGGGGTTTTCTGGGCCCTCAGCGCACTTTGCGCTGCAAGCCATTGAAGGGTCGTTGCAGGGCTGTTGCTCCTCAAACGTGCAAGACCAGGACATCGCAGACCCTCGCAAGTAAACGGGGCTTCGCGATAAGCGGTGCTAAGTGCTGAGGGCGTTTGGAACATTCCCACGGGCGCTTTGAAAATGCCTTGGCACTGCAGCGTTCTCTTGCTTTCGGAGCTGCTTGACCACCTTGTTGCGAATCCACTGTTTCCACCTTTTATTGAGTCAGATTTGAAGGGCTCACTTTTCCCGCGGACCCGTTGTTTCTGCGTCCGCAACCGTCCGCAACCGTCCCCGGTAGGGCGCTAAGGGTTGGGGGAAGCTTTTGGAGAGGGTTTCGGATGGAAACGTGACGTGTCAGACTCGCGTGAAATGGCATGGAAATGTGTGGAAATGTAAGATGCTGAAGTTTGCAGGTTCATTTCACTCTGCAGGCACAGCGTTTTGTGAGATCCGCAGTTTTCTGCGCAGCTCCATTGGGGTTAGCGTTTGGAGAGTGTTGTTTTTGGGGTGTTGGAGAAGGTGCATGGGTGTGGCCGGGGCTGGGGAAGCGAGACGGAAGGTGTGCGTGGGTGTGGACGGGGGATAGAAGGAGAGGGGCGCGAGACAGGAGGCGCGTGGGTGTGGACGGGGCTGGGGGAGGAAGGGAGGGCATCCACACCTTCGTCCACGCCCGCGCACCTCCCGTATCGCGCCCCTCCCTGTTCCAGCCACAGCCCTGTCCACGCCCATCTTCCATCCACGACAACGCTTGCTTTGTCTTGCTCTTGCGCGGCACTAGCGACTAAACAAGAACCCAAGCATCGGAGATGCTTTTTGGAAGAAAGAAAGAAAGAAAGAAAGATAGAAACAAAGATAGATAGATAGATACACGCAGGTACTTCTGTCCTTTTGATACGTTGCAAACGTGGCAACCGGTGGATGGATGCGGATTTGTTGGCTGTCTGTGAGGTAACACTGGAGTGAAGGCGGTGAAGATGAGCCCTCCAAAGACAGAGTGGCAGGCAGGCGGACAAAAACTTGCAAACCTTTTGTGGACCTGCGACTTTGGCCGTTCTTGGTACGTTGGATTCCAGTCGCGCCCGTTGAGGCTGCTGCTGAAAAAGAGTTCCTTCAAATGCGCTCTAGGGTCCCCAAGGATGAGTCGCTCGCTGGCATATTGGCAGCGCTTGAACAGGTACGAAGTAGCCCTGTTTTTTCAAGAACATGGGCGCAAGGATTGGGGCTGCTAGTAAGGCTAGTACGGGGCGTCAACCTGCATCAAGAAAAATGAAAAGGTGAATAGCACGCACGCATTGCAATTTAAAATGTTGCGTCTACCCCCGCCGCTTCTTATCTATTTTCTTTTCTGAGTTCCATACCTCCGGGAATTGTACACAACAAGGTCCTAGGTTGAAATTTGTCAGGCAAGGGTATCATGTGAGAGAGGGAGAAAAGTTCATCCAGCACTCCCCGATACCGCATCTCACCGCACAAGCAAAGTTAAGACGTGCCCGTGGCCCAAGTATATAGCGGTAGGATTCATTTTGTCGGCGGTGGCAGTAGCGGCAGCGGTCGCAATCGCAGTAGCAACTCGCTGTTGTAGTACAGTGGTAGTAGCGGCAGTAGCATCATAGTAGTAGTAGTAGTAGTAGTAGGAGTGGGAGTGGTAGTAGTCGTAGTCGTAGTGGTAGCGGTAGTAGTAGTAGTAGTAGTAGTAGTGGTAGTAGTAGTAGTAGTGGTAGTGGTAGTGGTAGTGGTAGCGGTAGCGGTAGGGGTAGTGGTGGTAGTGGTAGTGGTAGTGGTAGTGGCAGTAGGAGAAGAAGGCGTCGTAGTCGTAGTCGTAGTCGTAGTCGTAGTCGTCGTAGTAGTAGTAGTAGTAATAGTAGTAGCAGTAGTGGTAGTAGTAGTAGTAGCAGGCAGCAGTAGCAGTAGCAGTAGCAGCAGCGCCAGCAGGAGCAGGAGGAGGAGTAGTAGTGGTAGTGGTAGTAGCAGCAGTAGTAGTAGTAATGGTAAGAGTAGCAGCAGTAGTAGGAGTAGTAGTAGTAGTAGTAGTTTTAGTAGGTAGTAGGTAGTGGGTAGTGGGTAGTAGGCAGTAGGTAGTAGGCAGTAGGTAGTCGTAGGTTGTAGGTAGTGGGTAGTAGGTAGCAGTTAGCGCGTAGCAGGTGGTACGTAGTAGGTAGTAGGTTGGTAGGTAATAGGTAGTGGGTAGTGGTAGTAGTAGTAGTACTACTACTACTACCACAACGACAACCTACTAGTAGTACCATTAGTATGAGTAGTAGTAGTAGTCGTCGTCGTCGTCGTAGTAGTAGTGGTAGTCGTCGTCGTCGTCGTAGTAGTAGTAGTAGTGGTAGTAGTAGTAGTAGTAGTAGTGGTAGTCGTAGTAGTAGTAGTGGTACTGGTACTAGTACTCTAGTACTAGTACTAGTAGTAGTGGTGGTAATAGTACTAGTAGTAGTGGTGGTAATAGTAGTAGTACTAGTAGTAGTAGAAGTAGTAGTAGTAGTACTACTACTACTGGTGGTAGTAGTAGTAGTGGTAGTAGTAGTAGTAGCAGTGGTGGTTGTAGTCGTAGTCGTAATAGTAGTTTGAGTATATAGTAGTATTAAGTAAAGTAAAGTAAAGTATTGTAAAATAGAGTGAAGTGAAGAAAAGTAAAGTAAAGCAAAGCAAAGCAAAGTTAAGTTAAGTAAGTAAAGTAAGTAAGCAAGTATGCAAGTAAGCAAGTAAGTAAGTAAGCAAGGAAGCAAGTAAGTAAGCAAGTAAGTAAGTAAGTAAGAATAAGGAAGCAAGGAAGTAAGTAATTCAAGGAAGTAAGTAAGAAAGGAAGTCAATAAGTGAATAATTAGGTGCGTAAGAGGTACGTAAGTAATCAAGTGACTAAGTCAGAAGCAAGTCATTGTAGTAGTAGCCGTAGTGGTAGTAGTAGTAGTAGAAGTAGTGGTAGTAGTGGTAGTAGTAGTAGCAGTAGTAGCGGAAGGAGTAGTAGGAGTAGTAGTAGTCGTCGTCGTCGTGGTGGTGGTGGTTGTTGTTGGCGGCCGTGACTTTTGTTGCTGTTCACTAGTTTTTTTCTCTTGTTGCTTGTTGGTGTACCCCCATGTGAAACAAAAGAAGGTCCCACTGTTGACTCGAAAGACCAGGCCCCACCAACCACAAGTCCCAGAACCACCACGACTTGCAGAAGGTGGCTAGTGAGTAGGAAAGAACCTTGATTGTTTCGTCACATTGTCTTCATTGTCGTCGCTTTTACAGCATCGTGGAGCATGTTGGCATGCTGCAAATGGGTTTTCTCAATTCTTTCAAACCCATGTATATATTCGTCAAAATGTGTCAAAGTCAAAAGTCCACCAATGCACAAGGCTGCAAAAAGGATGTCCTACCTTGTTGTTGTTGGTGGTGGTGGTGGTTGTTGTTGGCTGCTGTTGTTTAAATGGAAAGCAAATGGGCAAGTCCACTGTTTTTGTTTGTCCTGCTGTGTTGTTTGAAGGGGATCCAAACATTACAAGGGGCGGATTAGGAAAAAGCAAGGAGATTGCACTGTTTACACGGGTTGCTGCAATCTTTGTTTGTTCCCCCTTGGTCATTGTTGTCGCCCTCGTCCTCGTCTTCCTCGCTATCGCCGTCGTGAGTCGTCGCCGTTGTCATCGTGGTGGGATGGCTGGAAGATGTTTTTCCTTCCAAGGCAGGGCAGGCAGGTGTGCGTTTGCCCAGCAGTTGACTTGGAGTTGTGAGGCTTCTGTGGCACTTGACACCTGATGATGCCCCTTGACAGCATTGTATTGCATGTTTGTTGAACAAGTCAACGGTTTGGATTCAACAACAGGAAACGCCCCGCTGTCATGCAACTGCCAGTGCTATTTTTCAGAGAGCGACCGCATGATGGATTTTGTCACTTGTGGCTCAAGTTTATACTGGAGGTCCAGCACTTGTCTCCGGAGATGAGAAAGTGCTTAACTCTTCGGTGTGGAAGTTCGCGTGACATCTCTCAGTGGCGACACTTGCCAATCAACTGCCACTCTCCGCGGCAACAGCGGCTAATTAGTAGGTGGCGTTTGGTGTTTGTTGGCTATGGCTTTGACCTGGTTTGTATTGGGCCCCTTTTGGTATATTAGCATGAAAGAACACAAGTTTCACGAGGTTCTCCATGTGCATTTGCCTGTTTGTGGGGACTGTTATTTCAGATCATCAGTGCTACCGCCCTTGCTCGAAGTCAACCTTTGGCAGTTTGCAAATACGGATGGTGTTTCCACTTTTGCTGGGTGTGAACGGCTTTTGACACCTACCTTGCCTCCCCAATGCAAAACAGGTCTTTCCCCTATGTTTGTCCTTTGTTTTTGTCCACCTTGGGCGCGTTTGAGCGCTGCGCTGCCTCTTTCCTTAGGGCCTAGGGTCAAGGGCTCCATTGTCCTTGCTTGACACAGACGGTCGATTGGAATATAAAGGTGTTTGTGTTTTGCCACTTGAAGTTGCTTCTCGAAACCTCGTACGTTTTCAGTGAGCAAGAAGGAGGGCAGCTAAGAAGCATGGGCATCGGAGCAAGACCATTCAAAAATTGGTAGAACAATGAAAGACATGTTACATGTTGCACACTCACTAAGGAAAGCAGCAATTGATCCGTTCTTTGGCTTGGTTTGAAATATTTGCTTGTTGTGCTCAGCTGGTTGAGTGCAGAAAGTGGCTGAATTCACGCCAACCACAATACACGGACCAGCTCATGATGTCTGAGTGAGTCAATGAAAATCTGTGGAAACTAAGAAAATAAGCACCCAATTCAAAACATGTTCCCACTTTCAACATACAATCTTGCCCCGTTTGATTCTACATGTTCCCGTGAATTTTCTTGAGGCAAGTTTCAAAGGCGCCCATTTGACACCAACAGTCCTGCAGTACGGATTGCTTGCCTCACAGAGAAGATTCTTCGTGGTTTTGGTTGCAATTTAGTGCTTTGCGACACTGTGTGCTACAATGGCTTTCCCGGGATGCTGTGAAGCTGACAACACGCAAGGTCTCCGAGCGCATCTTTTGCGTGCCTTGGCCTGCGTACATTGGGAGCTCCGGGTCATTGCTTGCTAGGTTCCCCAGCAACAGCACATGGCTTTTTTTGAAGCTGAGCGCGCCCTTTGCCAAAGGAACGGACTTGGGGGGCTTTCATCAAGAAGCCAAGCGAGCTATGAGGACTTTCCTGAACCACCTGTGTTGGTATGAGGTCCGTGTGAGCTCCAATCTTGCTCGCAGGATGTACTTGACACGGAGAACCCGGACAATGAAATCTCTTTACAAGTGACCTGCCGCATTTCACCAGATGATTGTAGCCGGCAGTGATTTCTTGTAGTGGCTCATTTCTTCAAGCCTTTTTTCCTGGAAACTTTCTATTGCTTGCAATTTCCTTGAGGTCAGACTATACACTGTATCGTCATACTTGCTTGGAGCTGGGCATCAGGTGTATACGCTTTGCGTTGCTTGGACCGGACAAAATGTTGAATGTCTATGTCCAGTGGTAGATGCTATAGTGACGGACAACCACTTAGAACATAGTCTTTTTCATCAAAAAAAATAGAGTCACATAGAACATGCCGAGGACCCAACACATAGAACAAAAAAAACGCGTTCTAAGCCTTGCTCTTGGAACAATTGAACTCCTGCACTTAGAACATATACGCGCTCATATATGTGCATATGTAGGCACAATATTCAGCTTGTACAAGCCCCCAGTAGCCTCCTTGCTCCTAGAAGCGATGCCCTTTGTTACTAGTAGCGAACCTTGTTCCTAGTATATAGTAAGGCCAGGAGCCCCTAGTAGCGTCCTTGCTCGTAGCGAACCTTGTTCCTAGTAGTAAGGCCAGGAGCCCCTAGTAGCATCCTTGTTCCTAGTAGCGACCCTACAGCGTTTCAACCCAATCGCGTCAAATGTTTACCCAACCTTTAATAGTGACGGACAAGCACTTTGAACAAATTTAGATACATTTATATAGTAAAAATGAGCTCTGTTTGTTCTAAGTGATGGGTTTATCAAGTTCTAAGTGTCAGGCTTTTGCATGTTCTAAGTGTAACGTTTGCAGCTCCATTTTCTTGTTTGTTTTTCACCGATTTGTTCTAAGTGACTGTCCGTCACTATATATATATATATATTATGTTGCGAGTTTGGGGTGTCAGTTGGTCGGATGCACATAAGGTGCAAACAAATACCCGTTACAGTAACATTCTGTACCACCACCACACACCTCTCAATCAACACTTTTGAGGTGAAAAAGATTTGCTTATCTGCCACGCTTCAACAGCTAGTCCATGGTGCCACAGCCTCGAACTCCACAGGGCTCCTCAAGATAAACTTCGATGGGCCAAGTGGGGCCCCGACATTTGCCAAAAGACGTCTCTTCCATGGCTGGCAGTGCACCTTACAAGGGTTCCATTCGCCAAATCCGATGATTCGTCACACGTGCTTCTTGTGGCTTCGATATCAGCCAGACTGGAACCTTCCAGGCCGCTCCATCGGAACTTTGTCTTCATCATCACACAAACAGTGGGAGCAACAGCTGGCAAATCACGAGCGTACCCGAAGCAATTCCGCCGGTCGCTTCAAATAATAACCACAAGGGCCAGAGACGTTTGAGGAGGAGCGCCAAGCTACACCTGAGGCCGAGGCTTCTATGCTATAAATCCGTCACAAACTTAAACGCTGGGCGGCCCTGTTTGGCAGAGCGCGCTTCGGTGTTTGGTTGGTGCCTCGACCAAATGCTTGGGCGAACATGAACTGATTGATCAAATGAAATTGTGTAACCCGGCCCTTTTGGACGTGGAGCCAAAAGACATGGACTAAACCCGATCCTTTCTGACCTCGAGCCAAAAGACACGGACTCGACAAAAGAAGCGAAGTTCAATGGCTGCTGCGCAGTTTCATCAATATGACCCGCAGCCTGGATCTGGTCGAGCTCTCTTCATGGAAGTAGTTCTATTGTCTTCATCCTCGGTGAGAAGTGGGATCTCTGGTTGTTGGGGGCGACTGGGCCCGCCGTATGCCTTCAAGACTCGACTAGCAAAACCTGCGGTAGTGATCGGCTGCTCCAGATGCCCTCAACAAGCTGCTCAAGCCAGGGTGCAGCAGATCGTTCAAAAAGAACGGAAATCCAAGAGACTGACAACACACCTGCGAAGCAAACCTAGCTTGCTTAAGTCGCAGCTTCCCAGTACCTTCCTCGTAGTGGTCTAGCCCAATTCTGAAGAATATTGAAGAGCACACACGGCAGCGAAACCGCTGCCAATCCCGGTCGCCAAAGCACTGCTTTTCGACGTGCCCTCGCATAGTGTCAAAACACTTTCGCCTGTGACTTGAACACCAAAGATCCGATCAAAATGGATGCGGTGACAGAGCTTGAACCAGCAGATGATCATGAGCCGCTGCAAGAAAACCAAGACCTGGCCACCTTTCTTGCCTCACATCGTGAACTCCCTGGCGCTCCCCAGATCACTTTGGAGCGAACTGTAATTTGGAAACAATGCCATTTCGTTTCATGCTTCAAGCCTGCTTCCTGCTCCCATCCTCCCCAGCTTCATCTTCTTCAGACAGACTCGGAAATTGCTCCTCGGGCAAGCTAGGGGATCTTGGAGCATTCAAGTGGGAGTGTTTGGTTGGCCCCGAAATTGGGTCTCACCAGGTTCCCCAGGTTCCGGGTTTGGAGCACGCTGGCGCTTGGGATTGCACTAGGCCTTGTGTGGTTCTTTTGGCCGGGTGTGGGTTGAGTTTGTTTGTTTCTCCATCAGGCCTGGTTTGGGCTCAGACCTCACCTGGGTTTGGGCTTGGAGTCCTCTCGGTTAGTTGGCCGCAGGGCGTAGCATTGCAGCAAAGGAGGGCTGGTTGAGTTTTGGCTTTGTTTTCTTCTTCTGCTGCCTATGAACAGCTCGACCGACGCGTCGGGCGATGAGGCATCCAAGGAGGATGCGTTGTGGCGGCCCCGCAATGAGGTGATTGCCTTTGTGGCTGATGACCACTTTGACTGTGACTTGCGGGATTTCCTTCGGGCCTACTTAGTTGCGCCAGATGGTCCTACCTCAAGCATTGTTCGAGTGTTCCCGGAGGGGTCGTGTCGATCCTGCCTGGCAGCGGGTCTGCGTAGCTAGACTTGGCTTGCAACACTCTCAAGTCGCAGAGGCAGGCCCCAATAATACTTTGTCATGGCTCTGCAAAAAGTCCGCCGTGCTGCGAGGGCAGCCCCGCGACAGGGCGAGCCGAGGGTCGAGCTGGAGAAAGGAGAGTTGAACAAATGGCGGACTTTGCTCATGGAATTGGTTGTTGAGGCCCAACTACCAATTGTGGGCCAGGCTGCCCTTTCCTCCGGGGACACTGAAGCTGCGATTGCCCTAGGAAACTTGCGAGCGTCCACTATTCGGAAACGAGTTTGGGAGTGGGGTAAGCCACGGGCCTTTTCACTTGCATTGGGTGATTCTGCGTGGCCCAAGCATGCCGGCATTGTGTTTTCTGGACATGTTAAGTTTTATGGAGAAGGTCGGGGCGGTGGCCGCCTCTCGCAGGTGTAAAATGTCGTACAGCAAGCGACTTGCGATTTAGAGGGGCGCCCCCACAACGAGAAAAGCTCCTTTGATTCCTGGTGGTTGGCGCGCTTGAACTACTTGTAGTGGATGAGTCTGCCTCGACTTTTGCGCCGGGCCTTTGCTTGGTATACGGCTTCATAAGTTGATCAAACTACGGGTAGCGTGTCGCGGCCATGATCTGACTGGCTTGCGCCCGGCATCTCTGAAACTGTGCCGGATGGGGCTCTGTGGCTGGCTTGAGCGCACAAAAGCTTCAGGGCCTGGGAAAAAGGTGAGGCGTTTGCCATCTATGTCTCCGGCACAGCGAATCTTTTTACGGGCGCTTGGCTCCAAAAAGCATGGGATCTCTGGCAGCATGCTGACATGGGGTTTGACCGGGACTATTTCCTTCCTCTGCCCACGCAGCGTGCGTTCTGTGCCAACACCACTGCCCTCAGCAAAATGCCTTTGCGGTCGTTGCGACAGCCAACCCGCGTCGGGGGGGTTGTACCTTGTCTCCCCAGCCTCTGTTCTTGGTTGAGGAAGCCTTTTGGACAGAGCACTCCGAGCGGAATTGGATGACGAGCATGCTTGCGGCCATTGAGGTCGAGCGCGCAGAGCGGGAGTATGTCGGGCGGGGTGTTTCCTCTGCTGACGAATACCTGCGCACTGCGCAGCGGGTCATCTTTGGGCTCCAGGAACGTCTGGCGGACTACTTCTGAGGCTTTGACAAATGGGACCCGGCGCGCGGGTATTGAAGAATTTGAAGGGCGCCTGCAATCGTGACCTGTGGACGCCAAGGCAATTGCCAAGCAGTGCGAAGTCGTACAGCTATCGGCAAATTGGTGCGACAGGCGCGGCCTACTCCTGTTCCAGCAGAAAGCGCTTTTAGCCGCTTGTACCGCGCTGGCGGCTGCGGCGTCACCTCCATCGAGGTGCAGTCAGGGAACATAATGGAACCTGTCTGGGCTTTGCGAGGGCTGGTGTGTGTCGCCATTGTTGCGGTGAAGCCACTGCTTCGGAGGTGGAAGCGCTGATGATGCTTGACTGGCTCCGGCAGTGGGCAGACGTAGGGTCTAGGCGTATTAGCTTAATAAGTTTGCGTGGGTTGGCTTGCACGTTCTCTTTTGTGCGACCTAGTCGCATGTGCCATCTCCACGTAAAGCTGGAGCGGCGTCATCAGTGATGAGGAGTCAGCATGACACTGTCGACTGATTGGTTTGATGTTCCTTTTGCGCGATATTGTCGCATGAGGCTAAGTGCCGGGACATGCGTCCTCATGTGAGGGATTCTAGTTTATTTGTCGATTGCCTTGTTCGACGGTCTCTCTTTGGGCTTCATTTGCCTGTCATGTGGTCTAGGTGTGGGCGCCTAGGTCCAGGTGTCTCTTGGCTAGTAATGCGAGGCTAGTCATAGGGCATGGCCAGTTGCTGGCGTGAGGAATCCAGCGGGCGGGCTCTGCAGCCGCGCTTCTTGTTCAATTTACTGAAGGCATGGCTTCGCATCTGCTGTCTTCCGATTTGCAGTTCCAGATGAAAGAGGCTGGAGTCAGTCTCTGCCGCCGTGCAGAAGAAGATCTATATGAGAAAGGGCTCACATGTTTGCGGACCTTTGCCGACATTGAAGAGTCTCGGGCCAGCGCGCGAGGTACGCTGAAGACACACAGCAATGTCGAGTTTCTGCGTGAGACTGTTTTGTTGCTGAGTGTATGGGAAGCCGCTCGCGCGCAATTGACCTACCAAGAGAAGAACAAGCAAGATTCCAAGTTGGGGGCTCAACATCGTTCAGTCCAGGCCACTGAATATGCAGCTATGCGGAAAGCTGCGGAACCCCAGTGTGGATCCTTGAAGGGCAAAGAGGCCCCCAGCAAGTCGCTGGTTCGAGCAGGTCGAGGATGGAGCCCCGGTGGCCGAAGATCTTCGGGAGGTCACCTCATTTGAAGACGATTCTGAGACTGAAGCCTACAACGCAGTCATCGACCCTGCGACGGCTACTTTGCGCATTCGCCCAGGGTTTGGCATGGGCGTTTGTCAAGTCTCGACATTCCACCAGAACTTGTCTTCCAGCTTCCTCGCTCGAAGCCTTTCAGAAGTTCTCAGACTTTGTGCTGGACCCCTCTGTGGTTGGGCTCACAGCCGCAGATGGCCGCACGCCTACGTGGGGCTTGGTTCTGGCGTATGCGGAAATTAGCCTACAGGTATGCGCGCGACGGGCAAGCCCCGCTTGGCAACAGCCTTAGAGAAGGCCCCTGACGCAGTTTGATGCAGTTGACAGCGATTTGAATGACAAGGGCCGGGGCAAGGGCATGCAGTTAGGTGCATGGGATCGGCAGCGGTGCAAAGCCTCTTCTGGTCCCCATGGAAGGCGCAGTTGTTTCAAGTTCAACAAGGTCGGAGGCGGCAAAATCAAGGGCGCAAGCGCCCTGCGGCTGAGGAGCGCGCTGGCGATTCTTGACCAGATCTTTTCGTTCCTGCACCCCCACAGCCTTTCAGTGGGGAAGCTGCGCTGCCAAGGGCTGCTGAAGAGGAGAATGGAGGCTCTTTGCGGCCTTCGCGTGACGGGGGGGGTCTTTGCTCCCCGGGAAGGTGGACACTGGTGGCTTCCTCTTTTGGCCTCTTCCCACTTGGCATCCGGGCATCAATCACCTGCTCAGCCCATGTTGCCCACAAAACCTCTTCTTCATAGCCACCCATGTCGTGAAGGCGAAGCGCACGGTCTGGGCAGGCTTCTTTGATGGGACGTGCGGCTGATCGCGACCGCTCAACGCGTTGGGGCAACACGCATCCCCTTACCAATGTCCCAACTTGCCGCAACTCAACCCCGCGCCGCTTTTCTTCTTGATGTCCACGGCGCGAGTGTCCTGATTGGCTTTCCAGCCAGCTGCCAAGATCTCTTTGAGCTCTTCTTCACAATATTCTTCGCCCTCTTCATCGTCCATCATGCCTTCATCATCCTCTTCTCCTTCCGCTTCGTTTTCAAAGAGGATGTCCAAGGCGCCATCGTCATCGCCGTCTTCTGGCTCTTCTTCTTGGGGCTCTTGAGGATCATCAGCATCTAAGAAGTGGGTCCCATGCGCCTTCTTGACGATGGCCCTAACTTCCAGACCACGTCCAGAAAACCCTATTAAGCTAAGAGTATCGACACGCATGTAGAAGGAACTTGGCACACTACTTATAGCACATTGGACCTGCTGTGAAGCGCACATGAGGTATACTTTATATTTTTGTAGCATCCATGCAAGTTGCATCCGTCGATGAGATTGGGCGTTCTGGGAAACAATACCCAAATTTCACCAACATGTGTCTCCAGCGAAGGTGGTCCTTGAAGCCCTTGATCTCGAAACTCAACGCCGCCCACACTTTAGACCCGAGTTCTCGGGACGTTCGTCCGAAGATTCTCACATAGGCCTCTACTTGCTCCAGCCTGTAGTATCCAAATCGTAAAATGAAGGCAAAATGCTGATGGGGCTTCTCTTATTCTTGTAGCCGCCTCTCTTCTTATCTTCATGGATCCTGCTGCAGCGGACTCTCAAAGCTTTCCCAACGGTGGCGCGCTGAAAGCAAGCTCCTGCAGCATGAAAGACGTCACGCCCTTCACGTTCGTGACCGCGGGGCTCTTTGCAAAAGGCGCTGACCCCGTGCCACGTCTGAGATCTTGCTCTCTGGGTCAACTCGACTGCATTCTCTCCTTGCCCACTCTCTCAAAAAATTCTCAGCATCACTCTCTCTGAAGGCTTTGTCAAGAACACGCCATAGCAGCTGAAGACCTCCAGTCTCTGTGTAGGCGTGGATGGGCTGCTGCTCCACCACGTCTCAAGCTTCACGACAGGTGGACAAATACACCAGCATGGCAAGTTCAGTGTTCTTGAGGGAGTAGAGATGCTGTTGGGCCTCGATGGCACGCTTCCACTTCGAATACCGGCTCCTGTCCCCATAAAACTCTTCAACTTTCACCGATCCAAGCGAGCACTTGGGTCTGTAGCCATCTTCTTGCTTGATGCGCCTCCTCAGACTCCTCACCAATGACTTGATCTCTGAGGTGGCTGCCGACGAGGTGCCATCATCTTCTTCATCATAAGGTTCTGAACCTGGAGGATTGGGAGGTCCCACACAGACCAGGCGAGACCAAATTCGGCGTATGACCGGGTGGTGACGCTGCATGGGCAAACGGAGTCATGGGAGGCGCTTGATGTGGCGTTGCCGGCGGCATGAAACGCGGGCCAAAGGCGGTTGGTGTCCCCATGGCGGCGACAAAAGGAGCGACTTCAGGAATCTTGTCTTCGCTTTCTTTTGGTGCCTGAGTGACTTCACTTTCACTTCCTTTCTTTTGTCCTTTGCCTTTAAGCACCTTTCCTTTCCCGGAGTGATTCCAATGATCACCTCCCTTTTGCTGCGCTGCCGCACTGCCATGGATCACAAGCCTCCGGCGGCAAGGGAGTCCCAGCTGCACGATCCACACCATCCGCTACGGTGGAAGGCGCCATCGCCGAAGGCGCTGCTGCGTCGCCATGGGCCCATCAGCCATGGTTCTACAGAAGGGCGGCGGTTCGATACGCAACCCCCCACAACAACTCTTCAAGCTCTGCTACCAATGTAGGTTATGCGGAGCGCCAATCCCCAGCAAACAAAAGAGCGCGCAACCCCAAAAAAAATGGCACATCACGGTGTGGGTATGCGACCCCAAACACAAGAAAGCGAACCGCAAGCAAATGCTTTTTGCTGCTGTGGAAACATCGATGCTCTTGCAAAATGCAGTAGCGGTGGCGTGACGTGGAAAGTTTCAATCCACATGCCTGATCACACCTGTGTCCGGCGGAGTTGCTTTTCTTAGTATGGACGGAGGTTCGGTTCAAAAGGTATTTGTTTTGCAACCATTTTCGCTGATCCCAACCACAAAGTCATCATAAGTAAGCAAGCAAGCAAGCAAGTAAGTAAGTATGTATGTAAGTGAGTAAGCAAGTCAGTAAGTTCGGAGTGTTTGATGCCCTGAGGATTCCCTTGCCTTCGGCTGACCCACAAAAGATGCTGAACCCACAAGCAGTCGATGGCGACCACGCAACTTGGACTACACCACCTGCAATCTGACCTTGAATCATAGAGGCTCTGGGAGCAACACCATCGAAACCCGTCACAATTGGCTCATTGAGTAGGGTAGAATCTATCATATGCCCATCAATTACTGCATGATTCCTTGACATGAGGCATGGGTTTTTTGTCATTAGTAAAAACTAGCCAGGATAAATTCAGGATGAATCACGAGGGCATGAAGGTGGTGTTGTATCTGAGAAATCCTGTGCAGTTTCGGGTTTCAGCCGAGTTCGGCTCGATTCAAGGCCAGGTGGTTGATCCGGCAGCGGCTGCTGGCTTGCAAACCGAAAATATTTTCATAGAGTTGTCATGAGTTCTGCTGGGACTGATTGAATGCACAATTCTGCAAAGGATGGTTGACAGTTTTGAATATCCTTTCTGTGTTTGGGTCATATTCTTTCCGGTTGCGATTGTCAGGTTGTACAAGGCGAAGCATCGACCACGAGAAGTTCGAGAGCCAGGAACACAGCGGCGAATCCGCTGGACGCGTGGCTTGGCCTGGTGAACAATGAACTCAAATTCAACACATCGCAGCCTCAATAAGACAGGACTATGACTATGTCTCAGGAGCTTCCTTTGAGAAGAACACTTCAACTCGAAGTTGCACAGAATGCGGCAAAGTGCCTTCTTTTCCCACGAAAAAAAGGGATTGTGATAGGTTCCACAAACCTCATCTTAAGTTGCCCTCAGTCATTCAAGACCCATCAGGTCACCCATTGGAACCTGTTCCAGAGAGCCATGGCAGGCAGGAAATCGAAGAATTTCTACATTGAAATGTTGAGGAGTTGGGTGATCCGTACACTTCCTTTATGATCGAAAAGTCTGATCATCAATGGGCCTAAATTGTTGCAGGCCAAAGCCCACTCCACAGCAGATTTCCCGAGCATGGCCATACGGCGTCCGGCAAGAACGAGTCGAGGGACGGCAGGCATTTTGTGTGCTTTGTTCAGTTTCTCTCAAGGCCAAACTTGTTTTTGTGGTTGCTTCACAGGAGAGGCGGAGAGAGAGGAGGGTAGCAGTTCATAGTCTTTTCTACCTTTTGCTCACCTTCCTTTTTCAAGGTTCAAGACAGGTGTTTTGAAAGCCACTTGGGCAGGTGATTTACAATCCAACTGCACCTGGTCTTGGATTCTGGCCTGCCAAGCAGAAGATCGTCGGCGGCCGCACTCCAGAGCCACCTGAGTGAGGTAGGCTGAGCAAGTCTGCCAAAAACGGGCGTGCCCTTGGAAGCCCAGGATTGCTGTGCAAAGTTCTGCAAAGTATATAATTAATGCACAGCACTGCATGTCACGTGCGAGCTCGGAAACTCTTCAAGTCGGCTTGTGAATTGGATGCTTTGATCCTTTCAAGATGTTTTTCAGGTTTAGCAGCTGAAACAAGTTGTGGCTCCAATCACCCACATGACCCACATGGTTGTTTCATTCACGGCCTGCAGCCCTTCACCTGACATCAGCTTGGGACTTCTGTGGGCGACCTGGAGGGGGGTTCGCCGATATGGCTATGGCGTTCACGAAGAGGAACACAAACCACAGGTCTTCAGCAATTTGCCGCAGCCACGGAGGCAAGCTCGAATCTTTCAATGTCCAGTGGCCGAATCATGTGCAGCGAGGAGTATGTGTGGTGCACCAGTCCTTTGGTTGCTCTTTGGCGAAACAGACCTTGGCTGATGAAGCGCACGAGGCCCGATGATACAGGTAGACCTGAGCAGTGTGATGCAGCGTGTCCTCCTTTGCTTCTTGAGCACATGGTCAAGGCCAGGCAGGCAACCGGTCGTTGGCGTTTGCAAAGCTCAACACTGACCTCAGTGCAGGCGACGCGTCCACCAAAAGCGATGCTGTTATTGAATGCTATTGAACTCAGTCGGAACGCGATCTGAGTTGGGTTCCTTGTTAACACCAGGCATTCTTTCCAAGGCTTGCATTGGGAGTGTTGGGTCCCGGATGGTTCTCTCTACTTCTTCAGCTCTCCTCAGACTTTTTCTCTAGCCGCTAGCCACAAAGACCTTCCGACAGTCCGTCATGAGGGGCACACCAGGCTCAACCAGCAGTCTCAACAGCCTCGCCTTCTCGCAGGCCCACGCTCCCCGCCCTAATCTGGAGCTTTTGGTCGAACATAATATAGTCGCTGGCTTTGCCCTCAACCAGCGCTGCAGAGAATTTTGCCTGCAACTGCTCAGAGACGGAAATGAGATCTCTCATCGTTGGTGCAACATGGCACGACCACCTACAGTCAGTAGGTCCAGCGGATGTTCTTGCCCAACTGGCAAAGCATTGTGTCCAATGGAGAGCCAGGTTGAGCCGACCGTCCAGTCTCATGGCCAACCCAGCCCTCTTTCACACCTCCCCCCCCTCTGGCCGAGATCATTGCCTCATGTTGACGGCGGGGGGTGTAATGTTTTCTGCTTCCAGGGCTTTGGTACAGGCGGAGCTCCACGTCCATCCACATCGAACATCGAAGTTGTGCAGCTGGAGCATCGAATTCTGGTTCACCGCGGCCTTCATGGCTTCCAGAGGTCGACTGCCTCGTTTTCGTTCTGAGCTCCATCCACTCCCTGATGTTGCCGCCGTCGAAGGCAATGTCATAGGCCGTAGGCTCTATCGCCTCATCCTTCCATAGGTGGTCCTTGAGGACTAGCCGGCATCAACTACCAGCCCCTAGTGTCTTCCTCCATGGCCCTGTCCTTCCCAGAGGCCCGGCCCCATCCGGCGTGGATGACGACATGTTGGCCAACAACAGCAAAAGGTCGTGGTTTTCCTAAGACAGCGTTGGGCTCATAACCTTTTTCTATCTTTTTCTCCACTCCTGATAGGATAGTTTAAGGGGCTGCAGCAGCCGACAGCTGGTACACTTCTCGATTTGGGCGTGTACATGCCTTGAATGCATTGCACACTTCGGCTCAGAAAAGCAGAGACGCAATGGCCCTGAACGAAGCAATTCCTGCCGAAAGAGTGACCAGCATCCCGGCTTTGGGTATGGGACGGGATCTCGACACTGGAAAGAACCAATTTGCAACGGCGAAGAGCTGTGCAGCAATAGAGTGACATCGATCGATATTGATATCTGACAAGGTCGAAATTCTTTCTGAGGCAAACTGGAGATGAAGGACTTCACAAAGAATTTATCAGAGGCCATCTTTGTTTCATCAAGAGCTAGCAGCTAGCAGATCAAAGCTGAACGATGAGAGGCATTTGGAACAAAGTGGGCATCACATGTTATATACCACAAGGACACTTTGAACATTTCAGCGTTCGGAAAGTGAAGTCCTCTCACCACCTGACCAAGAGTATGGACATGCATGAACATGCAAAAGTTTTTGCTTGGCAGGTGAAGGCCAGTTGCGCGAGCCTCTTGGAGCAAATTGCTGCTTTGCAGGCAGCCCATGAAGAGGCGGGGAGAGCAATGGCCAAACGCGGCCAAATAGAAAGAAAGTGCTTCTAAACTGGAATGACAAAATCTTCGACCCACATGGCCTTCATTTGCTGTCCGTATTTTTGGGGCTCATCCCGGTCCAAGGCGATGGCTGGAGGTTTATTCGAGGACTGGGAAGACATTTTACACTGTGGCGAGCTAGAAACCCTGGTGGCGCTTGGTAGTCAAAGGGTCTCATGGCCAACAAGAAGTGGCTTTGCTTCTCTTGACTCTTGACTGTTACGAGCTCAAAAGTGCAGTACAGAGCTGCTGAATTTTAACTAGTGACTAGGCAGCGAGGTAGAGCGAATTACAAGAACCCCAATCGCGCGGTTGACCAAACTTGGAGTTCGTCGAACAGCTCAATTGTAATGAGGTATGCTTGTAGTACTGTGTCCAGTCGCGCCGGATGAAATCGATGTTCCTTTAAGCACAGACTTCGCAACGCAGGACAAGAAGGAGGTCCAACGCCACTGACTTAGAATTCATCATTTGCAGAGCATTGGAGGCAGTGGCGGTGTCGCATTTCCAAGCTTGGCTCGCATGTCTTCAGGGGAAGCTGTCACCGCCTTAGCGAGAAGTCAAGCTGTTCACTTTGGTATTTACTACGAAAGGAACAAAGCAAGGAGAGTAGATTGAGAATAGACCATCTGTTCGATTGAAGAGGGGTTGTAAGGACTTGGGAACGTTGGGAAGGGTTGCAAAGAAATCAAGCACAGAGAGTTCAACTAGGGACAACAGCGGGGCAAGAAAGGACACACACAACGGCAATTCTTCAGAAGAAGAAGATTCACAGTGGGAGAGTGGATGTCACATTGCTCAAAGCAACCTTCAAGGTACAGGATTTCATCGAATCAAGTACAAAGCGTTGTGGCTATTTTGCTAATGTTTGTTATGGTTTCCCACCTGCCCGCTACGTTGCACGAAAATATTGAATATCATCAATGTCCAGGATGCACTTCGCAAGGGAGGAACTGAACATCAGGACAGGGGAATTGGCCGGTTCCAAAACATGAAAGCTAAGACAACCTTCAGCAGTATATGGCAGTGAGTATGTTCCCAGTATGTTTGGCGAGCTTGAAACCTCGAGCGAAGGAGACTTTGGAGAGACCTTTGTCCCTCACTACTATGGATCTCCTGAGAAAGACGCTTGGCATGGAAATGACGTTTCATAACTTCAGTCATAGGTCTCCTTAGATCGTACCTAGGGCGGGGCCAATGTATTGCGAACGGCTTCGCTATCCCAGTGCATTTACTTTTGCCAGCCGATAGGCCAAGCTGAAGTTCTGTTTAGGCGAACGAAGTGAGTATTAGGGAGTGTGTGAGGGCGGGAGTAGGTCAAAAAAGGTGGGCTTCAGAAGGGTGAACACAGCACCTGCCGGGGGAGAGCGAAAATAATTGCGATGAGTACAATTGCATTTTGAGCGCGAGTGATGCAGCAGCAGCTGATGCTAGCGCATGATCAACTGTAAGTACATTGGCAACATTTGTCGGCTCCAGCTTCAACGAAATTAATTTAAAAGATTATGGCTATTATGTACAATGTTTTTTTGTTCGTCGAGGATTTGCGGGTGTCGAAAAAACAAGATGGAGCCCACGAACCCGAATTGCCAACACGTTCAAAAAACTACATATGTCCAAATGACACTCTTGTAGGACACTCTTGTGGGACACTTTTCTGGGACACTCTTGTGGGTCACTCTTACACGACACTCTTGTAGGACACTCCTTGTGGGACACTCTTATAGGACACTCTTGTGGGTCACTCTTATGGGACACTCTTGTCGGACATTCTTGTGGGACACTATTGTGAGACACTCTTGTGGGACAATCTTGCGGGTCACTCTTACACGGCACTCTTATGGGACACTCTTGTAGGACACTCTTTTAGGACACTCTTATAGGACACTTTTGTGGAACACTCTAGTGGGACACTCTTGTAGGACACTCTCGTGGGACACTCTTCTGGGACACTCTTCTGGGTCACTCTTACACGACACTCTTGTAGGACACTCCTTGTGGGACACTCTCATAGGACACTCTTGTGGGACACTCTTGTGTGACACTCTTGTAGGAAACTCTTGTGGGACACTCTTGTAGTACACTCTTGTGGGACACTCTTATAGGACACTCTTCTGGGACACTCTTGTGGGACACTCTTGTAGGACACTTGCAGGGCGCTCTTGTGGGACACTCTTGTGGGACACTCTTGTAGGACACTCTAGTGGGATGCTCTTTTAGGACACTCTTGTGGGACACTCTTGTAGGAAACTCTTGTGGGACACTCTTGTAGGACACTCTTGTGGGACACTCTTCTGGGACACTCTTGTGGGATACTCTTGTAGGCCACTCTTGTGGGACACTCTTGTAGGACACTCTTGCAGGACACTCCTGTGGGACTGTAGGAAACTCTTGTGGGATACTCTTGTCGGACACTCTTAAGGGACACTCTTGTGAGACACTCTTGTGGGACACTGTTGCGGGACACTCTTGTGAGACACTCTTGTGGGACACTCTTGTGGGGCACTCTTGTAGGACACTCTTGTGGGACACTCTTGTAGGACACTCTTGTGGGACACTCTTGTAGGACACTCTTGTAGGACACTCTTGTGGGATACTCTTGTAGGCCACTCTTGTGGGACACTCTTGTAGGACACTCTTGTAGGGCACTCTTGTAGGACACTCTTGTGGGACACTCTTGTGAGACACTCTTGTGTGACACTCTTGTGGGGCAAGTGACCCTCTTGTGGGACACTCTTCTGGGACACTCTTGTAGGACACTCTTGTGGGACACTCTTGTGGGACACTCTTGTAGGACACTCTTGTAGGACACTCTTGTAGGAAACTCTTGTGGGATTGTGAGACACTCTTGTGGGACACTCTTGTGGGACACTCTTGTAGGACACTCTTGTGGGGCACTCTTGTAGGACACTCTTGTGGGACACTCTTGTGGGACACTCTTGTGGGACACTCTTGTAGGAAGCTCTTGTGGGCACTCCTTTGTGACAATCTTGATGCCACAAATCATCCCGCTCACCAGCGACACGCCGCGTTTACGCCAGCCTGTTTCGCGCTGCCCAGTGGCACGGCGCCACGCAAACACGCTTCCCACCCAGGCCGCGCAAATCCCAATGGCACTGCTTAGATGTGCTGGGGTTTAGCTAAATGGCTTTAAGCTTTACTGATGTTAGTAAGAGATTACTCACTAACTCTTAACTATGTGCTAACTAGGTTTTAATTGCTTAGTAATTG